TGGTGTAGGAGAACAAGTGTTGAAAACAGTAGTAACATACAAGTTCTGATTTCCTTTTGAATGTCACTGCACAGGGCTAATAGTCCATGCTCTGAGTATGTGCTTTCCAGTGAGGTAAATTGTTCATAGAGGAGAGGGTTTTCAGTTAGGTCACACTCATCCCCAGCCTCGTCCCTCTGCCTCTCGAGCACACGATGTGTGTGCTCAAGCTGTGCGTGCAAATCTGGCATCTACTCCATTTGTCAGGTTGAAAGAGGGTGTGAAATAAATCAGTTCCTTTCTGGCTGAATTGAGATGGTGATTTACAGCTGGAGAACTGAGGTTAACACTGTGATCCACTCTGCCACTGACTTGATGGATTACTTTTAGCAAGACTCTTAAACTTTGTTTCCCTACCAAGTAGAACATTTCTCTCTCTGGATGGTAAGCTTTAGAATGAGCACAGTTATATCTAGCAGTGTGTATTGATGCAGTGTCAAGTAAAAGATGCTGGAAATATCAGTACATTCCCATAATAAGTTTCTGATGCTCAGGACTGTGGAAGTCTCTTTGAGATCAGATCTGCTAAATTAATTCTGCCTGAGGGAAATTCCAGCACTCACTGCTGTGTTCTTTTTTTTTTTTTTTCATTCTGCTCCACAGATCTTCCTCTGGATTTAGCGGATGGAGAAGCTGAGAACATCCTGAACTCTCCTGGAGAACTGTGCTGTCGCTCCTACGTTCATGAGTCACCTGTGTGATCAATATCCATACAGCTTTTCGTTTAAATACAAGATGTCAGACTTTTTTTTTCCCCTTAAATATCCTTATTTTTATGCAGCAACTATCCTTTTCTGTATTAAACAATTTTATTGTCTTTATGCTACTTGTGTTGGAAGGGCTTATCTCCCTGGATCATGAAGAAACAAACACGTGTGAGGTGTGATTGCCAGCCCTGTGCTCATAGCTTACTGTTAGCTTTGCTTTTTGTTGCCCTTCCTATGCCCAGACAAAGGAGTAAGTAGCTCAAGTTGGTTTCGGATACAAACCAGCACATTTTTCATTGAAGTAAATGATTGATTATCCTTGGCTCTTAAGAAGGAGCTGAAGCTTGCCCTGCTAATTTTAAGTATAGGATGGGGCGCATGCTTATCTCACTGAAGTGCTAAATCTGAGTCATGTGTGAGCCAGAGGCTTAGCAGAGAAATAGGAAATTATCTGGGAAGAAACTGGCAGCGTGCAGAGCACGTTCCCATGGCAGTAACATTCAGCAGAGAGGTGGGAAGTAAAAGCTTTCTTATTTTTACCTTCCTCTAAATTTGACAGAACACAGAAATTAGAACTCAGGTTACAGGGAAAACTTGTGGACCTTGAAGGAGAAGTGTGACCTCCATCCAGAGGCATTCTGCAGCTCGTGGCTTTGGCTGCTGGTTTCCACTATCAGCTCTGTTGTTGTTGTTTTCTAACATGTATGAGATTGTACTGCTTCCCTGTAGCTCTTGGATTCAGTCAGTAACATTTGTGAAATTCTCATATGTTTGTACTCAAACATACCAAGCAAATACTATAAAGAATGCCCAGAAGGCATTTTGGACAAATGCTTTTTCTATTTGATGCATCTGACCTCCATGAAACCTCTAAATGATGTAATGGGTTTTTGTTGCACTGTGAAAAACGCGTTTGAAAGAATGGCTTATGTATTACTGGAATACATGCAGATTGGATGGGTTTATCTTGTTGGTCCTAATAGGACGTTTTGGGTTACTTCTGCTTTTTCTATTTTCAGCAGAAACGTTCTAAAGTTTCATTTTCTGAATAGCACACAATATGATAGCAAGTATCATTTTTGGGTCTGGTTGGCAAGTGGGCATGCGATCCTTTTTTGGACTTGTAAATAGTTGATAATTGTTTGTTTTCACATCCAATATTATAAACCAAATTCTTACACCTGTCAGCAGCTCCTGAAGCAGTCATTCTTTCTCAAGTTGACCTAAAACATTAGCATTCAACCTGACTCCTGTCCTAGCTGTGGGAAGTATCCTTCGTCTGCACCCAGGGATGACATGAGTTGGGTTCTCTTTAAAAAGGAAGACCACTGAAATGCAGTGAATATCGTGCACAGGGAGGGCTTATATTTAGATGAGGAGGGGCTTTGCAAGCCTGCGGGCTGTAAGGCTTTCATGTGTAGCCTGGATTTCTGAACATGGGCATGCTGTGTGTTGTATTAGAGGCAGTGCTGCTGGGGTGGTTTTGTTCTTAACCTTTCCTGCTAATGGAAGAGTGTGGGTGCTGGCAGCCCTGGGGTCACAGTGCCAGAACTGAGAACATTTTCTGAAAGGTTCTGGTTTGGAGAATGGAAGGAAAAGCAGGAGAGCTTGAAGCGTGCCCTCCCCATGCATCCTCCTTGACCACACATTTCCTAAGGCCTGGAGGTGATACTGCTGTTCTGTTTTCCTTCCTCTTTATAAATAGCTGGCCCGAACGACTGACCTTAAATTCTTGGCGTTAATCTCACATGGCTGTGGCATGCAGCACCTCCTCACAGGGCCGTATCAGCTGTGCTCCCCCAGATAGCCAGCATGGAGAAGACCGGCTGGGTAAGAATGCAGCGTTGGCACAGTGAGCCATTTCAAGTTTCCTTTTTGGAATGATGGGAGCAGTTGGGGGTTGTCCCTGCTGTGCTGCTCGCTGACTGTTTAACTCCTCTTCCCTTTGTGAGAGAGAGGCTCTGCTGATGACTGCAGATGCTGGTTGAGCACACGAGTTGCTCTCTTGCAACGCTTCCAAAATCGTGGCTGAAACAAGCCAACCCCTGAACCGCCTGCCCTCGGGGAATGGGTGCTGCTCCTGGTTTCCATAGCAGCTGCTGGAGGAGCTGAGCAGCACTGGAAGGCTGATCGTGACCGTGAGCCTACAGGAACACGCACAGAATGTAGCAAAGTCAACTTCTCAAAGTCTGCATTTTTGCCAGATGACTCAAGGGCTTGGAGAGCGTGCGCCCTGCTCGGCTGGTGGCTGCCAGGAACTGCTGCAGGCTGTCAGCTGTGCTGGGTGCCCTGGGAGCACGTGGCCTCTGTCCAACATGTGGACAGATGTCCACTAAAGAACAAAGCTATGACAAATCAGCTCCCAGCCTGGCAGGGCTGGTGAGGAAACCAATGGCCAAATGTGGGCCTGGAGCCCTTATTTGTTACTTCTGTTGTCCGTGCCGGTTTGTCTTCAAAGAAGTGATAACAACTGTTGGAAGGTTTATCATTATCATTCTGTCCTTTTAATTTTTTTTCCCCCATTTCAGTGACAGAGGACGTGGTGATGCTGGGTCAGGTGCTTTTCTGGTGCTGCTCTGTGCCTGTGAGTGACAGCCCATCTCCTCTCACCCCCTGTACGTGTCCCCACCAGGGCAGCCCCATGGGCTGCGGTGACATTTTGTTCATCCCCCGTCTTAGTTTTCATGTGTGCTGTCCTTGTGCATTGCTTTCAGCATTTCGTACAAGGAAAAAAAATCCTGCGAGAGGCTCAGGCATGGCAGCCCTTGGTAGTGCCGAAGGAGTTTCTGTTCTTAAATGTCACGCTGAGCCCCAGGGGCTGGGTAGAGGCAGCTTGTGGGCAATGAGTGGCCCTCAGTGGCCTGAAATGAGCCCTTCCTTCCTCCAGGAGCAAAACTGGGGCTCCTGTGGGGATGCGCTCCTTCAGCACAGGTGCCGGTGGTTTGTTCCATGTTGCCTCATGCTCAGTTCTGTACTTTGCTGCAGGATAAGGGCTGTGTTCCAGAGCCCTCTGCAACCTTGGGAAGCCTCACAGCCCACTCTGGCTCTCCTGCTGGCACTCATTGCCAGGGCTGTGCACCCAGCATGGTGCTGGGGTCACTGGGGCCATGTGTGAGGGAATCCCAATGCAGATTGTTGGAGGAGCTGTGTGCGTGTGGCACAGTGTGGGTTTTCAGCTGGTGTTCTGAGGTTCTTCAGTTCACGTCAATATGTTGCTGTGTTGCTTAAAGGAATTCGCTTTAAAGCTTGAAAACACGGAGGAATGAAATTTGGTGTTAGCAGCTGCTGCATCTGAGCAGCTTACAGAGGTGTGAGATAGAAGAGAGAGGAAAGGAGACCTGATTTGTACCAGCAGAGAGGGAAATCCCCTGCAAAAAGCCCCGAGCAGGGGCAAGGTGAGCAGAATATTGCCGCAGAGCAAGGAGACGTTGCTGCCTTCTGTTTCACAGGGAGGGTAGAAAATCTTGAAGCCAGGTGGGAGAACCTTGGGAGGGCAAAGTGTGGTTTGTGGGCTCAGCAGGCTCGAGGTGCTGGCGCCGTCCTGGCAGCACTGCCCATCCCTGCTGCATTCTGTGCTGTTGCTGTGACCTGGTGCTCCCAGGCTGTCACCCCCTGCACCCAGCACTGCCTGCCGTCCCCTCTCCCCCTCCTCCCGCCCAGACTGCGATGCCTAAATTTAGCCTCCTATCAACAGATGAGGCTGGAGAGTTTCCACTGTGGAAATGAATCCCATTCTGAACCTGTCCTCTCCATCCATGCGAATTCCTTCTCGCGTGCACTCCGTGCTCACCCTCCCCTGCAGTGTTCCAACCCATAGCACTGCTGAGCACTGCTGCATCTCCCTGAGCAGAGCACGACGCTGTTTGCATTGCATGCCTGCACACGGTTTGGGGCGATGGGAGCAGGGACCCAACAACAGCATAGAAAAGGCTGAGCAAAGGTTGGCTACCACCTTCAGAGGGATCCCCCCAGGTGCAGCATTTATGGCTGCAGCCTTTTGCTAACTGAGCAAACAGCATCAGAGCTGCAGAAGTTGGGCTGCTGTGTGCTCCCATCGCTGCTCTGTCCTCCCATCACACGGCCTGCTAATGAAAAATGCAGGATGCTGGCTGGTATTTTTAACCAGAAACCTCCTCGCTCTGTCTGATGCGGAGTCAGAGCTGCAATGGGGAGAAAAAGCTCCCTGCTCACCATGAGTGCATTGCAGCCGAGGTGGGGAACTGCTCTACTGAAACCAGCCAACACCCAAACGACTTCAGGCAGGCGGGTTTGAAAACTTCATTTTATTTTTCCGTCTGTTATAAAAGCAGGGTTTTGTTTTTACATCGCCATGAGTGTCCAGACTTGGTACATCGTGGGTTTGTTTTCACAGTATCTCTGCAAGACCAAGGACAAGTCTTATTGCTGTGCCTCACCCCTCGCCTTCCCAGGGCCGTGCAGAATGAATGGGCCAACCCACCTCCCCTTCTTTCCCCCCTCCCCCCACTGCTCTGAGTCTGGGTTTGCTCAGCTGGGCTCCTGACCCTGGTGCTGCTGGCAGTGCTGGGGCAGCACAGTGCTCCGTGCTCCATCCCCTTCCCAGTGCATCCTTTCCAGTTTTGCTGCAGAATGCTGCCAGAGCAGCAGCTTACTCTCCTGGATGCCCTGGATCCCCACCCCACTCCCCAGCTGTCACCCAGCGGTGCCGGCAGCACCCACCCCTTCCAGCCACCCTTCCTTTCAGATACAGCCCATCTGTCCTTGTCAGTTTTGCAATGAAGCAGCATTGGAAAAACATCGTTTGTAACCACAAAGCGTGAGATCTCACCAGAGGCAGCAGCACTTTCTATGCTGGGTGTGGTGGTGCGGATGGAGGCGGAGGGGGGCACGGTCCAAACTAGGCACGGGATAAAGGCATTCTTTGGGGAGGGAGAGGTCCATGCAAAGCTGACCCAAAGTGAAGGTTGGATTTTGTATTTACTGCTCAGCTGGGTCTGTTCAGTGCGACGGGACAACTTAGCCAGGAGGTCGGTATGGAATTGCATGGGTGCATCCAGTCCACCAGGTACAGGGAGAAGGAAACAGATGTACTCAATGTGCTGGGAGAAACTGAGTCCAACACGAAGCGAAGTGGAAAAGGACATAGGTGTTCCCTGAATGTGATTTTTGGTGACTGAGAATAAATCTTTCCTTGGAATTCCTTTGTGCAGCTAATTAAGACAACTGGGCCCCGTTTGTTCGACCCATGCTGACATCAGTGAGAACTGTAAGTACTCAGCACCTGGAGACAAAGTGAATACCAGACATAAATACCCCTTCTACTCCCACCCGCCGGTCTGCCCGGAGCAGCAGCAGAGGTGTGTGCAAGTGTTACCAGCAATCACCCACAGCTCCCATTTTGTCCTCTTCTGCATGTATTGCCTAGGATAAAATACTGCCAAGTCCTGAGGGCTGCGCCGGTACAGCTGTAGTTGGGATCTGAATCCATGTAAGAAAATGGAGTTTAATAGAGAGTGACTGTGCAAGTCAAAGCCTCCCTAGCTTCATCCTTTATCGTCCCAAAGCCTCGATGCAGGCAACCTTTGGCTGATGGGTTTGGGGTTGATCCAGTCCAGTTGTTTGCAAGCTGCTCGTGATGTCAGCCTGCCTACCTGCAGGGTCTCCTGTTGGAGGGGGAGAGCAGCTCTGCAGCACAGGGAGGAGGGCACCCTGCCTGGGGGGGGGCAGCTGCAGGGACCCCACATCCACGTTTGCTGGTTTGAGGCGGTTGTGGGGCGTGTTTTCCCCACGCAGGGGAGATGCTGAACCCGTTGCCATAATAGGTGGTGCGGCTTTGGCGAAGCAAAGGAGGAGAAATTCTTGTTGTGGGGGAGGAGGAGGTGGCAATAGCAGCGAATGGTGCTCCCCCATGGGAGAGCCTTCTGAGCAGCGAGCGTGGGACCGAGACCTGCTCGGACCAGCTCTGCAGGGCTGGGAGCATCTGCAGCTGGGCTCTGCTCAGCCCCAGCTCTGGAGGCGTGTTGTGAATAGAAGGAAGAAACGTTATCTCACAGAAAGCGCTGCCACAGGCACCCCCTGCCTCCTCCCCTCTTAGAGCAACCTTCCCGCACCTCCTTCCTCTGCAGAAACACATCTGCTATCTCTGAAGCCATCTGGATGAGGTTCTTGCTGAAAGCCAGGTTTTGGCTCCTGCTCCAAATGCGCTTTTCTTGACTGGAGGATCTACACCCAAGGTGTGGGTCTTCCCTGCTTACCGCCCCGTGCAGGATCCTTGGCTACATAACCAGATGGGTACGGTCTCACCCCGGTCCTGGAAGTTGTGTAGATCATGAGGTCATTGGGAAGAAAAATACCTACGAACCCCAACGTGATTCGTTACCGTAGGAAGAAGAGTTCTTTGTAGCTTTTGTCTCTAGTGTCTGCTAGGAATGGTGCCTGCTGGGCTCAGACACGGCTGTTCCTGAATTGTGGCTATTGCTGGGTAGACGTGGTGGATGGATCTGCCCTCTCTTACACCCGCGTGTCTCAATGCCTCCGCACACGGTGGTGACCCCGAGGCTGTGGCTGCAGCTGCTGGCTCTGCCCATCAGATTATCCCGTGTTACGACGCCGAGAAGTGCAAATGGGGTGAGCTCGACTCCTCCTGCTGAGCAGGGAGATGGCCACGGAGCTCCATCCTACAGCAGTTTATTTGCATTGCTTTGAAACTGAGATGATTTCTGAGCTTCCTCGATTTAAAACCAGGAAGGTTTTTCTTTTGATGGCGCTTCTTCCAATCTCATGCCCTTCTCGTTCACCTGTGACGTGCTGATCGTCTTCTCCTCGCTCCGAAGCTCTTTTCCCACAAGCTCTGTAGAAAGGACATTCTGCCCGGTGGTATTTTTGTTGTTGTTGTTGTTGTTTTCAGACGTAGCTTTAAGGCAAAAGTTTGGCAATGCAAAGCAAAGTCTACATAAGGCCGCATGACTTGGATTTGCAACTCAGAACCTTACAGCTTAAAAAAGAAAAATCCTTATCTTAAATAGTTGACTTGTTGCCCCAGGAACTTCTGTTCTCAACCAAAAAGGAGAAGGAAAAAAGGAAAAAAGAAGACTCTTAAAATCCCAAATAAAATGCTCTTATTGTTGTGGGCAGTCCGGGCAAGCTAATGAGACTGAAGTTCAAACAGGAACTGAAATAGGGAAGAGAACAAAAAAAGCAATACTGGTAGACATCAGTGTTCGTTTCTTCCCTTAGGAATCCAGTGGTGAGACAGACCCCGCCCTGAGGTCTCCTCTTTAGCTTTAGCACAGTGAAATCCGTCCCAATGGGAGAAGGTAGAATGGTTGCATTTGTTGAATGACTAAAAAGTGCATTTTTGATTTCGCTCAGATTATACGTGTTTATTCTAACACCTAAGTGATTGTTTTGCGTTGTTTCCAGTTTTGTTTTTCTCCCTTTCAGTGCCGGGACGCCAGGATTTTTACTATCGGTGCTTGGGAGGTATCACCACGAGCGGCGGTCCGTCCTTTGGCCTCCACATGAGTACCTGAGCATCGTTGGCATTGGGTTTGACAAGGGCACTGGGTGGTATTGGCTCATTCTTGCTGAGGACCTGGGGCTGCTCCTGAGCCGAGGGCTCCTGCAGCTTGGCACGCTGCCCCAGGGGTCTGCTGGGGTTCACCTCTATGCCCAGCCTCATCCTCCATTTGATAGTCTGCAAGGTCACCATCTCGTTGGTGGCCGTGTTGGTGGCGACCAGCCAGGTGGTGAAGCTTTGATCCCGGTGGATGCTCGTCAGCTTGGCCACGTTGCTGTCGCTGACGGGCACTGCCCACGTCACGCTCGGGTAGAAGTTGTCGTTCATGCTGATGTTGAACTTGGACTCCTTCTTGGTGGGACCCACGATGGTGCAGGTTTCTGTCGTGTTTCCGTACCAGGGATAATTCACTCCATCCGAGTCGCTGATGGCCTGGATTTTACCATCCAGTAGATCTGGAAGCTCCCAGCTTGACCTGCAAAACCAACAGATTACAGATAACGTGTTAATTAATTCATTTAGAAACATGCAGGACTTCAAGGAAGGAGAGGAACAAAGTGGGAACGCACTCCTGTTCGGCTTTTATTAGGTTTTATCCCTCTCGTGCAGGAATCATAGAATCACAAAGGCTGGAGAAGACCTCTAGGATCCCCAAACCCAGCTCACCACACCGTGTCCACCAACACAGCCCTCAGTGCCACGTCTCCACAGGGCTGGAACACTTCCAGAGACAGTGAGCCCACCGTTCCCTGGGCAGCTGTGCCATGCAGCACCGCTCTTTCAGAGAAGTTTTTCCTAACACCCAACCTGAAAGAAGACCTTTTCTATGCCATTCATAACAATGAGGACCCTCTCCAGGCCTCAGTTTGCCCACAGTGCTGCCTCCTGCCCCCCCCCCAGGCTCCCATTTCCCCTCGCTGCTCTGATGCTGTGCCCATGCTTGCAGACGTGCCCTTTCATTCCGGCCAAGCTGCGGTCCCTCCCCTCTGACTGCATGATGCTGGAAGCGTAACCCATCTCTCTACAGCCCAGGAAGGACCAGGTTCAAAGGCCGGGATGATGTTACAGTAATCAGAGAAACAGAGGTCAGCAGGGTGGTAACGCTGCCCCATCCCAGCGCCGGTGGCACCGCGCCGTGTGCCAGCCTGATGGAAAGGTCAGCCAAAAAGGGAGAGCAGCTCTCTGCCATCCCACAGCGCCGGCATAGAAGAGCTCCCGGGGTGCTTGGGGACACGTTGCTCCTCTCCACCGGCTGGGACTGATGTGACCATCTCACAAGGCTGATTGCTAATTAGTTAACGACCGAAAAGCGCCAACGTGTCTGTAATCACCGGCTCGTTCAGCACCGTGCTGCACACGTCTGGCAGTCGCTGGCTGATTCCTCGTGGGGTCACTTAATAGATGGTTTTCGTGGGTACCTGAACAAACCTGCAGGTGCAGAGCAGGACCTGGGGTCAGCACAGCGCTGTGCTGCGTGGCTGTGGATGTGCGGATATGGGATGCGGCATCGGCTGCTGCAGCCTTCTGCTCCCTGCAGCCAGCAGGCAGAGGGAGTCCTTTCCCTGGAAGTCAACGTGATCCTGCAGCAGCCAGAAGGACCCCCAGCAGCCCTGCTACAGGGATGCTCGCTCATTTCCCCTCCAACCCAGAGCCATCCCAAGGGACGCACAGCGGAGGACGCATCTCAGCGGGCTGCTCCCTGCAGCCCTGATGCACGTAGGAGGCTGAATTCAGGCTCTCCCTCCCTTTCAGCAGTTGTTTTAGGGTTGCAGTCCACGTGCCTGGTTCTCAGCATGACTGCAGCCCGATGTCCTGAAGGGTCACGGCTGTGACAAGAAGGTGCAGAGATGGAGGCTGTGTGGCTGGGAAGGTGCCACGCTGGGCTGTGAAGAGCAGAGGCTGCAGTGGTTGCTGCTGGTGGCTGCCCTGCTGCCAGCACACCTCGTATCTGCGCTCAGTAATGCGGCAGTGGTGCTGGAAAGAATGCAATGGAACGATCTTCAGCTGCATCAGCACCTTTCTGCGACGGTGTCGAGCCAAGGGAAGGCCAGAAAGTGCCCAGTAAACACTTTACTGACAACAGCAGGAAAGGCACCATCCTCTCTGGTTTCACAGGCCTGCTGTGGCTGATCAGCTCCAACACCAGCGGGTTCTGGGCTGTCATTCTGTCCTTCCCGCTGCTCCGAAACCTTCAATCAGAATGAGCATCGCCAGAGACCAAACCCCTCATAACAAACATCCTCGTGCTACCAGGAGAGGCACTCTGCCCAGCAGCAGCCCTGGGATAACCCTTATAAATCAGCCACGGCGTTCTGTAAGAGCACCAAAGGCTTTTCCTGCAGCCCTGCAGGGGCGGCTGCGGATGTGGGAGAATTAATCAGACCAGAGAGAGGTGCCCACTAACGTGCAGCGATGGCACAGCACTGTCCCAGTGACTCTCAGGGCAGGAAATCTACCTGCAGCTCCTTGAGATTTGCAGCTGATCCCATTCAAACTGCATTATTTCTCGCTCTGTTTTGCATACCACCATCTGCGCTGCTCCTTGCACGTCTCCATGGAGATGAAGAAGCAGGACTGGGTGATGCTGGTTCCGCTGGAGCTGGGTCCTGCAGGTCAGAACCCCACGGCCCAGCACTGATGGTGCCACGTGGCACAGCAGCATCCTGCCCTGGTGCTTGGGGTGAGCCTTGCCTGGTGACAGCAGCGCTGGGATGAAGGGGGTTTTCCCCAGTTCTGCATGCAGAGAGGTGACAGAGTGTTTCCGTTTCCTCCTGCCCAGGGTGTTGTGCTCCTGGCAGTGTGAGCCACAAGCAAAATAACCCCAGCGTTTACGTGTGGTTGAAGCTTTAGTTATTTCTCTCTCCATATGCCTAAAAATGCCCTAATCTGGCCAAAAAATCATCGGTTCCACTTTAAATGCACGTGTCAAACTGATGCCTCTGCACTGAGCTTGATGCACAGCTCCATCTGCTTGGCTATTCCTCACTGCTCTGTCCCAGCACTGGGGGGCTGCTGGAAGCACTGCTGCTGGGGTTGGCCCAACCCATGGCTCTCATTTGGAGTCTTCTGTTTGCTGCCACCACAGAGATGAAAGGGGAAGAAAAAGAAGAGAAAAATGGTTGTTCCAGCAGTGTCCCTCCATGGAAAGCTGGGACGAATGGCACAAAGCAATGCAGCTCCATGGAGGTCAGGGTATTACGATGGCTGACAGCCTCAGGGAGGGCACAGAGATCTTCCAGAGTGTGTTCTAATGACACGAAGCAGCCTTTCAGCCCTTATTTAGGGCTGTCAGATGGTGGCACAGCATCCTGGTTACATCTGCATGGCTCCTCCGTATCAGCCCAATGAGCCTCCTAGGGAAACGTCTCTCTGCTTCCCTGGCTTTCTGGATAATGGCTCTCCCACACACCTGCAGCTCTTAATTCTGACTGCCTGCTCACAGCAAACTTTTGCCCACAGCTCTCAAAGCAACGCGTTATGGGGAGCCTGCACCACATCCTGCTTTACAAACGGGGGAACTCGGGGGCAGAGCAGTCAGACAGCACAGGTGGGGGTGTGGGGTGAGCCCACAGCAGCAGAGGCACGTTGTTTCCTTGCCTGCTCCTCCTGCTGTGGTGGATGTGAGCTGCACTTGGGGACATCCCCACGTCACCCTGCAGCTGCTCACTAAAGGCTGCTGGTTCCTATGTGAGAATTACACCTGCAAACGAATCCCCACGGCCTGGAATTGGGGATGTCTGAGCAACAAATTGTCCTTGCTATAGAAGGGTTTGGAGCTAAAAAGCCCCCAGTTTTCAGGCCTGCTGTAAGTACTTCTACAATCAAGATAAGCTCAGCTGCTCTCTTCCTGCTGCCGGCGTTGGCCAGGTGCTGCAGTTTGCACCTCCAGGCGCTTTCTGAGTGAGCAGAGAGGACGTGAGGACAGGAGTCTGTCCCTCAGGGCTGCTCCTTGGTGCGCCCTTCCCCGTGCTCTGCATCTCCCTGCATGTTTTTGCTCATGTCTGAGCTGCCCGACCTGTGCCTGCAGCTGAGCAGGGACGGAGGGCTGCGGATGCTCAGGCCTCCAGGAGGGCACTGCGCTACGTCCGAATTTCTCCTCTCCAGCCCTACCTTCCCACCCTCTCCCTCAACCCTCCCCATCCACCCACGCTGGCCAAACCAGCATCACCCCCCAAACCCCCAGGATCAGCAGAGGGGCGGCAGCTCCCACCCCTTCATCCTCCCTCCGTGCTCCCAGAGCCGAGCAGCCCCCGCTGCACCCAGCTCTGCTCTCCAAGCTCAGGCACTGCAGGGTTGCGCTGCCGGCACCATGAGTTGCAGAATTGCAGCTCCATGCAGGCACGCAGAGCTGCTGCCGGCTGCACTGTGGGCCAAAGCCTGCAACGAGCAGAGCGGCGGCGGAGGGCTGCGGGGGGGCTGACTGCTCACAGCAGGGAGGTGACATTTCCATTTGACTCATTCTTGTCTCGCTGTGACTGTCTGACCGGTAACACGGGGCTTTTGGAGTGCCAACAGCCCCTACATTGCTCCTACCTCACATGTATACATATATATATATATACACTTATTCCCACTCTTATAGATATGTATGCCTATTCCCACTCTTCCAATTACCCCAAATGAAGCCAATGTCTTTTTTTAACCCTGCCCCAAGGTGATGCAGTGTTACCCCCTGGTTAAACCCATCTCAGTGCTGCCTGCAGCCAGGAGCACACCAAGCAGGTTCCCCCATGCCACCCCCGTGCCCCGGGTGCACTGGTAGCACACTGCAGCACAGCAGCACGGGGCTGGGAGCAGCCACAAGTGTCAGCCTCAGGGCTGCCCCGGGGTGCCTCAATGCGCAGTGCGTGATGGGGGGATGCAGAGGGATGCCCTTTGCAGGAGGGTTGGCTCTGGGGCTTGGCTCTCTGGTGCTGCTCCTGGTTTGCCAGCAACACGTTTTTCTGAGCGTGTTCCCATCAGAAAGACAAGGACACCCACTGCTTTAAAAGGTGCAGGCACCAGCTCGCTCGCTATTTCAAAGCATAGGAGAAAGTCCTGCTAAGTTTCACAGTAGCCAGCTTCTAAGCATCAACCCAACCGTGCTGTTGGCTCATCCCAGCCAGGCCGTGGCTCCCTGCTCTTCCCCCTCACCTCACAAATGCCCACGCACACTCACACACTCACACACTCACACACGCACACGCGCTCTGGAACGACTTACATTCCCTGGTCCCCGTAGTGATTGTAGAATTCCATGTGGCTGCACGCCTGGATCCAGCCCACGATCCACGTCTCCTTCTTGGGGATGGGGGGCACCAACACCTGCGCGGAGGCGCGGAAGTGCGGGGTGCGGTAACGCAGGACCACGCTGGAGGACTCGTCGATGCTGGTGGGGATGGGATCGATGGAGGCTTTGACTTCAATCACCGAAATACTTTCCCGGAAAACTTTGGATTTGCAGCTAATGCTCTGAATACAGCCCATGGCATACCCCGAATACAGTCCGACGCAGCTCCTCGGGTACTCCAGCAATCCTGGGGAATATTAGGCATTGAAATGATCGGGTGCGAGATCAATTACAGATCTTCTTGGTGCGTAACCTCAAAAGTGGTATCCATAGGATAGAAAATTCATCGCGCAGAGCCTTGACGTGGTGCCTTGATGTGGTGCCCGTCCTACAAACGCCGCTCCTGCCCGGAGGTTCGCTGCGCTCCACAAGCCAAAGGGCCTTGCAAATTGTTCCCCTTTTAATGACCCTTTAAATCTCTCGTTCGGTCTTTAGGTTAGAAGGAAAGAAAAAAAAAAAAAAAAAGTCTCTCGAGTTCAATAAATACCGGTGCTGCTTTAGCTGATATATTTAGTCCTTCCTTTGCTCAGATGCGGTCTGTCATTCCCCGTCAAGCGTGGGGCCAGCCGGCATTTCCCTTTATTCTTTGGATGAAAAGCAGAATGTTGATAGACACATCTATATAAATAATGAAATAGTTTGGAGCCCCGGCTTGTCACAACCGGTGTGGATTTCCACTTCCTGACTCGCAGTTGTTCACAACTTCCTTTCGCACAGAAAAAAATAAAAAATTACAATAATAACAGAAAGAAGCAAAAAAAAAAAAAAAAAAAAAAAAAAAAAAAAAAAAAAAAAAAAAAAAGAAATATATATATATAATAATAAAATAAATAAATAACCCCGCACCAAACCCCAAACACGACGGGTAGAGAAAAAGCGACAAAGTGCGTTTTAGAGCTTCCTCCGCCGTCTGGTTGGCTGTTTTTTCCTCGTTAGAAATAGCCGGAGCGCTCCGTGCCGGGGGGCTGCGCGGAGGGCAGCGACACAACTCAACACCCCCCACTCCCCCCCTCCGCGCTGCCCCCCCCCGCCCCGGGGCCGCTCAGCACCGCACAATCGCCGCCCGTCACATCCCAGGCGGCGGCGGCGGCGGGGCGGGCTGGGGGGGGGAACCCCGCGGTCCCCCTTCCTCCTCTTCCTCCTCCTCCTCCTCGGAGCGAGCGCTGTCCGCAGCCGTCCGACCTTCCTCCCGCTCCTCCTCCTCGCTCTCAGCCGGCGGCGCTCATGGTGCCGCCCCGCACCCGCGTGCGTTCCGCGGGGAGCAGCTCCGGGCCGCGGCCGTGCGCCGAGCGCTGCGCGGGGGCGCGGAGCGGCGGTGGCGGCGGAGGGGGGGGGGGGGGGGGGGGGGGGGGGGGGGGGGGGGGGGGGGGGGGGGGGGGGGGGGGGGGGAGGTTGGGGTGGAGGCTCCTGCGCGCTGCCGTGCGATCGGTGAGAGATTTTTATTATTTATTTTATTTCTTCGCTTCTTCTCTGCTAAATGCCCGGGGAGGTGAGAGAAGCAGAATCGGTGCCTCCGCCTCTCGGCTGTCGCAAGCTTCCTCTCTCGCAATACATTCATGCATACGGGAACGACGCCGGTTC